TGCATCATGATGTGCTCCTCGGGAGAGACAGTTGGATGCGGTTTAGCGACCGCTCTTACCGCACTTTGCGTGCGAAACGCCCTGGTGACCGTGTTTTTGGTGAGCTTACTCTGGCTCAGCATGGCAGTTGCGGTGCCACCGCATTTGCTCACGATTTGCCTTCCACAGATGGTAACTACCAACTTCGCTATGCTGGGAAACATTCCGTCCAACTTCACCCCGAACATAGCCTTGTTCCGGTTAATTTGGTGCGCAGCGATGGCTCTCCAGAGCTCTCGTAGGTAACTATCTGGTGGATATTCTTCCACAATGTGCTATGTTTTCTTCCGAGGAACATTTTGTGCAAAATGGTTGCCAAAGACTCCCGCTCGCGGGTATCTCTTCCCTCTAACCAGGCGACATTCTGGGTACAGCTTCGGCTCCCCTTCTTCGCGTGCCTCTCAGTGCTGTGTCTCGTCACAGTTTGAGCGATGGTCTTCAATCTGCGGCTCAAGATCCCACCGCTGCTTCGGGCAACTGGGTTCCGGGTCCTGTTTCGACAGGTGGCATTGATTCGTCTGCCGAGCGTCGCATTGATGACCCCTTCGTGTACAATTTGCATGAGCGACCCGCGCCGTCGCCACGCGGCAAAGAGGACCCTGGTTCTGCCAGTGCTTCTCTTTCGTCGCCTCCGCCTGCTCTTCTCGAGCGGTTGACGTCCGAACAACGTCAGAGTTTTTCCCGCGTGTAGGATAAGCTCCGCTGCCATCTCCGTGAGATTTCTTTTGGTCTCCATGGTCCGGGTTGGACTCCAGATGTCATCACTCAGCTTGGTAACGTCCTGTGCGACTATCATGATGTCTTCTCGAGTTCCCCCACCGACTTTGGATCTTGTTCGCTTTTTCCTTTCATGCTTACAGTTCCTCCAGGCAGTGCACCCGTCACGTCTCGTCCATACCGCGTTAACCCCCCGGTGGCGAAACAAGTTGACGCGATCCTTGATCAATATCCTGCGGCTGGTCTGATCCAACATTCGACCTCGCCCTACTCGAGTCCCGTGGTAGTCATACCGAAGAAATCTGGTGGTGTTCGCATCACTGTCAATTATCGCAAGCTCAACAAGCTTTGTGCTTTGAGCCAGCTTCCGATCCCTCGAGTTGGTGATACTTTGAACAAGTTGTTGAAAGGGCGAATTTATTCCCTTTTTGATAAGAAGTTTTCGTTCCACCAAATCACGGTTCACCGTGACACAGTCCCTTTGACGGCGTTCGTGACGTCTTCCGGGCTTTTTGAGTGGTTGAAGATGCCTCAAGGCAGTTCTGCTGCCCCTGGGTGGTTTTGCAAGGTGGTCAACGAAGTCATCAAAAATCTCCACGGTGTTGCATCGTACTTGGATGATGTGATCGTTTTCGACGACAACCCTGCTTCTCATGTTGATACCAGCGCGCTCTGTTTGAACGTTTGCGTACACACAACTTGAAACTCGCCCCACCGAAGGCCACCATTGGCGCTACCGAAGCGGACATCCTCGGCCACACCATCTCTCCCGACGTTGTTCGGCCTAACGGGGCCAAGGTTGCGGCCCTCACCCAAATGCCCATGCCCAAGGATGTTAAGCAACTTCGCTCCTTCTCGGCGGCCTCAGCTACTACCGCAAGTTCCTTCCCAATATGGCTACGCGGATTCGACCTCTGACCACTCTTCTCTAGAAGCAGGCGACGTTCGTCTTCACCCCTGCCATGGAGCAAGCTGTTCGCGTCCTGCTGCCTGAGTTACCCAACCCTCCTGTCTTGGTTTATCCGGATTGGGATGCCGTTTCGGACGGCTCGCGACCTTTCCGTCTCTACTGTGATGCTAGTCGCGATGGGTTCGGTGGGACTCTCGAACAAGAACAGAACAGCCGGATGGCTCCATCCGACCCATCGTTTCCATCAGCCGAGCTACTTTGGACTCTGAACGTCATTGGACTCCCCTCGACCTCGAGGCGGGTAGCATCGTGTGGTGTATCAACCGACTTCGCGGTTATTTGTGGGGTACGCAATTTCGCATTTTTACCGACCACGAATCTCTTGAGCATTTTGCCAAGGTGGGAGAGAACAATGAACCGCGTTCAGCGTTGGCTCGAATTTCTTACCGCCTACAATTACACTCTCGAGTACCGCAAGAGGGTTCCGCAAATGGCAACGCTGATTTCCTCTCTCGCCTTCCGATCGATGCGGCGGAATGTGACCGATCTGGTCGCAGCCGCTTGACACCGAATGACGATGAGGAGAGCGTGTTCTTCATCCGCTCTTGTGGCCTTACGCCTTCTGGCCATCGCGCCGTGGGTGTTGGCTTGGGTGGGCTCGTCCCCACTTCCCCGACTTCGGTCTTGGGTGGGCTGGCCCCCTCTACAGATGATTTCGTCGACTTCCGTCGGCATGGTCCACGTCTCTCGCCGTCAGGCCTTTCGTCTCCACCTAGCATCTGGAACATGGCACCCTGGATGTCCAAGAAGCTCCGCGAGTTGCCTCCTTCGAGACTGCGTAAGCGGGCCCTCGTTTGGTCTGGCTCCTTACACTCTTCGGTGGAGGGTTAGGGTTAGGGTTAGGGTTAACCTTGGTGGTACGTAACGTGCGTAAGGTTGTTCGGATAGATTAGATTGTTTTCGACTAAGTATTCCAACATCCGAGCATCTCCGTTGTTTTTCGTTAAAAAGGGGTCCTCGCCCGCCTATCTATGAGTCATTGATCGTCACTGGGTTAATGTAACATCCGCTTGTTGTCCACCCACAAACAAACGTATGCATGACATTTTCTGCGCTTCCTGGGATCAGATGCTTTGTCAAAGCCGAGACTCTTCCGGAGGATATGGCGGCTGAGCTCAGCAAGCAACACGGAAAGACCCGGTTCCAGATCGCCGAGCCTGCCTTGAAGGCTCTCACGGAGACTCTCAACACGTTGAGCACGAGCGTGCACGAGGCGCACCAGCAGGGATCCCGAATCGAGGACGAGGACATCGCCGAACTCATGGCAGACCTCCGCATCGAACCCGGAAAGCCGATCGTGGAGGAAGCGGTGAACGCGATTCAGGGGTGGGCTACCATCGAGGACGACGATGAAGTGGTTGAGGCTCTCAGACAGGATACGGTGGACGACATGACTTCACAGCTGGCTGGGACTCGCGTGTCTACCGGCTGCGAGGATGAGGACGAACAGGAGGACAGCGGCGATGACAACACGGGGCTGGCTCGCCGTGCCCCACCGGCTTATTATGGTGAACTGTCGTCTCACTTCGGCGTCCTGGAAGCGGCAGCAGAGGAGAGTGGCAACGGAGACGCGGCGCTCTACCTAGCGAAAGCGAAGATGGCGATGATTGCACCGCATTCCGCTAAGCGGGTGCGCCAGGCAGACATGAGAGAGTTTGTTGCTCCGGAGTAAGGGCGGGGTACAGCTGTGTGTGGTACTAAACGGTTGTTTGACTTTTTGCGGTGCGCTGCCTGTCGTGCTTGTCGTTTTCTTTTTTTTTCTTGCAACATCGAAGCGGGTGCGCCAGGCAGACACGAGAGAGTTTGTCCCGACGTACAGTAGTGAGGGCGGGGGTTACAGCTGAGCTGTTGTTGTGTTTTTTTTTTTTTGTCTTTGGTGCGCTTTTTGGTTTTTCTTCATTTATTTTCATTCTGCACCAACCATCGAAGTGGGCAGCGAGGAGTGGGATTAAGCTTTGTACGAACAAGAGCTTTCCAAGCAGTTTGTGCCGTCACAACTTACTCGGGTGTATGACGTGCATCTTACTTTCGCCGTCGACTTGTCCTGGTGAGGCTGTAGCCCAAAATGCAACTACTGTATGTATGTACTGCTGCATCTTACTTTACAACAAACTCTTGTGGGCTCCACAGGTTGGAACCACACAACATGTCTGCTCACGCCCACGCTGGAACCTCACTCAACAGTAGTATAGTAGTAGTGTCGATCCATTCCGTTCTCTGTTGACCCCGCAACCGTGGGCGCTACACCATAAATCGAACACAACCTCATTAGTGCCGGTAACGGCACTAATGAGGGATTGGCCAGCCCTCAATAGTGCCGTTTTGGCACTATTCGCAATAGTGCCGGGTGCCCGGTTTAGTGCCGGTGAACGCTCTGTGCACGTACCGGCACTAAACAGGGCCCAGCACTGTAATCAACTGATGAAGTTGATTTTCATTTCTCGGTGTAGATGTAGATAGACTATTACACACATACATATTGTTTTTTCAAGCAGCTGGCTGTAAACTGACAGCAGGTTTCGGAGGCCTAGTCTATTTGCGGGCAATCTTGATGGGAAATGGAGCGAAATTAATTGCTCCAATTTTTTTCTCACTGTGCTCGCCGGCTCGCTGCGCTCGCCACTAACGGCTCGCTTCGCTCGCTACCAACGGCTCGCTTCGCGCTAATATCGATATCGAAAACTTCACGGGCGATATCGTATCGAATCTATTATTGAATCGATATCCAACACTACATGAAAGTATCTTCTCAAAGCAACGACATCCTACATGTACATGAACCCGATAGGCACATGAACCGAACTTTTCTCCCCTTGCACCTACAGTAACATACAGGTCACACGTCTCGCAAGAGGTCAACCTCATGAGGATGTGCACCACCCAGCTTGCAGAACTACTGCTGCTGTACTGCTGTACAGTAGTGAGGTGGCACAAAGTTATTGTTGGTCTCCCAGACTGACTGAGGACCACAGAGTAGTCGGCACACAGCAGCAGTCGTGTTCACCGCCACGGACCGTAAACCCCTGTCAGCAGCAGCTAATAGTGCGACAGGCAGGTCGTGCCCGTTTCGTTTCTCTGCCTCTCTGTGCTTACTTTTCAGCACCATAGCGAGCTAACTCGCGCTTGGAGCGAGTTCGACGGATCCACGAGTCAAAAAGGGTCGGTGGTTTGGTTGTGTGGAACTGCTGTGACTGCTGTGGGGTATGTGCGGTACACGTTTTTTTCTGGGGATTCTAGAGTCGTCGGGCGCCGGCATTATGCGACTACAGTATTTCTGGGTAGAAAATTGACTCCTTCCGGGTACACCATTCATCAGCATCGGTTACTCGTGTACCCGGGCAGGCCGTACTCGATACGGTGGCGCCTCACAAAATATATTGATCGTGCCCACACGTTAACTCAATCGAGTTACAGAAAATTCCTCGCAATTATCCACCATGAACTAACTCGGTTGGAAACTTTCACCATTGATCCACTTTGATCAAACAGGTTGCTGCCAGTCAAATCCCATTCAAAATTCAGCGGCCTTCAGCATTCAACCTTGCCTACAATCCAACCACTGCAAGTGGGCTAAGCTCTCGAGACTACACATTTATGACAGCGCCCTGTCGACGGTCCACGAACATACTCTTGACCATAGCCCTCGATATAAAAGCTCAATCAATCCCTGCGTGGCCAGCTGCTGCTGTCTAACTCGCTAGATGGTCATGCCTCGTTCCTCGAAGGCGCGTACCATGGTGGACCCGAGCTGTGCAGGAGACCTAGAGATATACACCCCGGCGTCTTCCAGAGCCGCGAACTTGGCTGTACAACACAGAGCCAAGACCCAAGAACAGAAACAAAAACACGCGGCCGAGAGGAGGTTCGCAGCGTGTCAGGCAAGCGGCTTTCCCAGGGTTGGGTCAGAGGTAAGCCTTGTGTCGGGATTTTTCTCCGAGAGTTTCGAAATTGGGTGCACAACACAATGAACGAGAAGAACGAGGCATCCAAAGCTCAAGCTATTGTTCATGTAGCATGGTTACACAACAAAGTGACTGCGTCGTCCAGTTGGTACCCTCGAAGCCTGACGTGCGGGACGTGCGGAACCTAGGTGTGGACCGCAACAACTCGTCTTCACGGCTGACCAGGGAAAGTAACAATTGCATCTTTAGCGCCGAAAAAATCAAGACAAGTGCCGCAAATTGAAGGCGGAGCACACGTAAAAAAAATGCAGTGTGCGACCCCCGGCTCATGTGTCCCGAGATTATGCCGACATCGGCAAAAAATGATACTGGTAGTCCAGAACAAACGGGACGACTAACACTCTTGGTTGCATCGATTCGACTTCTTTTCGCATCTCAAAAAGACGACCGTAGGCATGCGCCTGAACACATGCGCGCAAAACGGCGGGAATCATACCAGAGTAGAAACAAGACGGTTTGGTTGGACGATAATCGTAGGGGTGGCAGCAGTGGTGTTGCGAGACCTGGGTGTGCGCAAGTCGCCACCTCGTCATGGTCTGCAGCACTTACCTCTTCTGGCAGCGGTCATATGTGACTATTGATCTATTTGTGTCTTTTCACGGAACGGTCCACGGCACGGCGTTGAGTTTTTTTCCTGTGCGCATTACCGTGTGCCCGAACCCACACTACACCACATGGGGAAAACTACTCGTAAAATAATCCATCCGCTTGCCCCACGAGTCTAGTTCGTATCCTCCCAACCTTCTAGCACCCAGGGTCAGGGGTTCGATTCCCGGTGTAAGCACGCTGGTCTTGAAAAAAATAGTTTTTTCTCGCTTGCGTTCCGGCTTGTGTATGGCTGGGTGGCAAGCGTTTGTTCATGTATACAGGGAAGAGAGTGCTGCACTCTTGTCGCGAAAAGGGGTGGCAGAAAAATAGTTTTTTCTCGCTTGCGTTCCGGCTTGTGTATGGCTGGGTGGCAAGCGCTTGTTCGTGTATACAGGGAAGAGAGTGCTGCACTCTTGTCGCGAAAAGGGGTGGCAGACAACCCCTTCCGAGGCTGGCCCTATTTTCATGCTTTATTCAATATACGAAAAGAAAGAAACCTTCCCGTCAATGACACCTTGTGCGTTGTACTGCCATCAGTAGAGATAACCGGGCGTGGTGCGTGCTGGCGCGTTCAGGTTTGCAACTGGAGCTGAAACATCGAAGGTCGCAGCAGTTTCTGAAAGACGTCCGTAATCTGCGCCGGAACCCAACATCTGTCACAGCCGTGCTCATCGCCACGGACCGTTAACCCCTCAACGGAGGGTCACAGCAGTAGCTAGTGGCATCAGCTACAGCAAACCCGCAGCTCAGGAGATTTGGGGTCGGTGGCGGCGAGCACAAGCAGTTGTTGTCGGTCTAATTTGCGGAGATTTGCGGGGATTGTAGGCTGCTACTACGACCCTCGAAATTACCACCCAAGAAGCTTGATTTGAGCGCGCTAATACTCACCCAGCTGTAGATGCACAAAACCTAATGCAAAACCGACCTCATTGAATGCCTGCCGTTGTGTTTTTTTTTTCTTGAATTCAGACGGTCTGAATTTTAATCTTGATATAAAGGAGGCGTGTGGAGGTAGAAGCATGGTATGTATGTTCAGAGCAGCATCTACTGCCGCCCTGTGCGAGAATTAGCTGTTTCTGTTTTCCCGATGTCTTCCGACTGGTCTTGTGAGTCAGTCTCATGTGCATTTTCTGGTGTTCATGCCGCTCTGCTCAAAATTAGTCAACAACGAAAAATAGTTGTCTGACATCCCTCAAAAGTCGAAGCCAAATCACGGCGGGAGGGGCAGACGGAGAGGAACCCTTCTATGTGGCAACGGATTGGAGCGCTCCTAAACGGCAGAGATGCTGTGTGTGAGCGCTGATTCAATTTGATGCAAAAAAAACGTACCCCAGTTCATCGGCAGAGGTACCCCTGTCACCCGCGGCAAAGGCGTTGCCTGGAATCGCTCACCTTCTCGTGCTGCACGAATGCACTTCTGCAGTGCTGTATTGTGATCATGTGCTACGTTCCGCGTTGTTCGTTGGGTTGAATCCACCGTAGTGGCGGCACGCTTGTCGCGCCGATATACATATCGCGTCGTCTTGGCATTACACGATTGATACAAGTGCCCCATCCAACATTGTCGGATTTACTGAGATGCTACGTGTGACGCACAGTGGGGCATCCAATGCTCAGAATCCCCGCTTACCGGCAGCCGTGCCCTTGCCGCCTGAGATAATAGCGCCCGCATGCCCCATGCGCCTCCCCGGGGGAGCCGTGGAGCCAGCAATAAAGCTCACTACAGGCTTAGCAGGATCCCCGTGCTCCATCAGCCACTCGGCCGCATCCTCCTCCGCCTGAAAAATGTCATATTGAGGGGATTCACACTATAATAGCACGTGAACGATGCACAGCAACTAAAACCCAATACGTTGGGTAACAAAGAATGCTTTACACGCGAAAGAGCACAACGTTCTAGTGTGCTAAGCTGTTCATGTCGATTGAGCTGGTGTGATGGCTGCCGTTCTTCAAACGCTGATGCAGCGATAGGTATTGCAAATGCGCTGGACAGTGTGGCTATCTGAGATGAGGCGGTTGGGTGCGGTGTTGGTGTACCCTATCGCCAACAACAGGCAACAACGAATGAGATAGACAAACGGAGACATACGCCACATTAGGGCAACGGGCGAGACCTTCCACGGTGGAATAGACACACAAGTGTCTGTGCAAACAAAGAAACAAAGCGCCATCATAGCACTGACTCAATATCCAAGCGCACGTCTTACTGTTAGGGACAATCTGACGTTTGTCACGTTTGTGACGCCATACACAGCAGTGACCATCCCCTGAAGGCACCTTCTACTCTGCTTTTGATCCCCTCCTCCAAGCATGCGAACAGTACTTCCAACCTCCGAGGAAGCCAAGAGGAATCACGTACAACCAGCGCACCCCCTTGCAACTTCACTTTGAGGTTAGCATGTACCTGGCCTCCGATCTCCCCGATCATGACGATGCCCTCTGTTTCTGGGTCCTTGGTGAACCTTTCGAGGCAATCGATGAAGTTAGTACCATTGAACGGGTCGCCCCCGATACCCACACAGGTGCTTTGGCCCATGCCTGGTAATTGGAAAAAATAACGGTAAGGGAGGGAAGGTAATTGCACGACCGCCAGGCAAACCACATGAGGAGAGCGACAAGTTCGTGTAACGGTGAAGGCCAGTATATTGTAATAGACAACAAACGTTCAAGGATGAAGGGACAACCAACCAAGCAGGTGCGCTTCTTATTGTTGCGGAAACGCAGGGTTATGATGGTTTTATAAAATATCTTCTTTTGGAACTCTTGACACTTGTCCTTATCAGGTAGACCAACGAGTAAAGAGCTTCAGGCCAGCAGATAGAGTAGTACACCGCACATACGGTTGAGGTATGAAGTACCAACGGCTATCGCAGCTTGGCTGCGCCTGCAACGGCCGGTACAAAGTCGTCCTGTTACAATGTATGCGTCTGAAGGCGAAATCATCGACGGCGCAAAACAGGCAAGAGAGCAAGCAGATACCGCAGAGATGAGCTTCAACGCCCGCCTTTCTGCTCGCAACGTGCGGATGTTCACGATGACAACCTTCGTGGCATCATAGGTGAATGGCAAAGTAAACAACAGCAGTAATGCGTCAATCAGTTCGCCGTTTATCGTCACCTCGGAGGTCTGGGGTACAGCTGCGAGAATGGAGCCGAAAGACGGATACAAAAGTGCGCTCTTGTCGGGAATACAAGCCCCGCACGAACATATTGTGGCGTACCTTCTGCTGTATCACGATTGTCTCGAAATGCAAACTTCGATCCCCTCGTATATCGTTGAAACTCTAGAACCGAGGTATTTTGAACATCGACAGCCCCTCTCTGACCTCAACACCCAAGCAGCAGAAAAAAAAGTTCGAGACGCTAAAAATGGTCAATGGAGGCCCTCTCATAGTGCAACGGAGCATGCCTGGCGCTGAACGTGCTGCCGAGACAGCAAAGAGAAGAGTCTGACCGACGCAAGAAAAAAAGAACATGTCCACCAACCCTCACGTCAGTCCTGTCGATGACAGATGTCGCGAGTGAGCTCTGCTACTGCTGCTGTAGAGCAACCGGTTTGTCGATACTGCCAACGTATTAACAACGAAAAAGGATGGGGGGCTAGAGACGAAAGGACAAGGATTCCAAAACAACAAAAACGTTTGAAAAATGTCTTGCCGTAATCTCAAAAATATCCAAGCTGGGTCGCACTGACGTATCCCCGTATGGTGCTAATATTCCCGGCCAGATTCATGATCAACGCTCCTTCCACTTGGGTAAATCAATCGTCCCCACTGACCCGCCTAAAAACCACCACGTGAGGAGCATAGGCCAACGAAATGACCCTCCTCGCTGCGGTAATACTGCTGCTGCTTGTAATCACTTGTGCCGTATGCAACAACGCAGGGATGACTATCTCAACTTACTCACCAGTTACGGTGGTTTGCCACACGGCCTCGTACGTCAAGGTGCCGCTCCTTGAGACAATGCCGATTTTCCCCTTTTTGTGGATGTAGCCAGGCATGATTCCTTAACGACAGAAATGAACGAATCGCGTCGAGATAAACGACGGCGAAGGTGTACGCAAGCGCGAGGTTTGACGTCTTCCAGTTAGTCCACGTGTACCCAAACGTGGATGGGGCAAGGCATGCTCTTTCGCAAGACCAACAAGTGACAAGCATGTACGCGGTCAAGATAGTGCGGGATCGACCCCATCATCGGGTGTCTTCAGGAGAACCAAAGCTTGAGCAGCAAGAACGGTGTCAGCAGGCGAACGGTCGTGTTGGCGCCATAAACCTGGACGCGACAGGCTGCGCAACGCAGGGACAAAAAGGAAGTACGGCGTACCGACGCAGAAAAGCCATGGTCTCACCGATTTTACACTCTCCAGGCTTGATGATGCCCGGGCAGTTAGGACCAATGAGACGCGTCGCGGTTTGCTGCCTGAGAGCGTGCTTGACCTTCGCCATGTCCTTCTGTGGGATGCCCTCCGTGATGCACACCACCAATGGGATCTCATTCTGGGCATTCGTTAAAAAAGGTGCCAATAAAAGGAGGGAGGGCACATTTTTTGATGTCTTTCGACCATGACTCATTATCATATGATGGAGAGGAGTGCAAGATGTTGAGGTGGTGGGTTAGAACGATTGCTACTAGAACATTTGTCGACGCGACGAAAAGTGGTGCCATCGGCGATGAATTACATGTACAGTAATATAGTTGATACAGCACCCTGGAAGCCAGGAGGTGTCCAACGTATCCTTCCGCTTGGGGAAGGAAAAGGTGATGATTCGCTAAAACGACGGATATGGCGCGGTGAGGCGAGGGTGAAAGCAAGGAAACCCGACAGCAACTGGTGCAAGAATTGGCCAATGGCAGCACGTCCAGGCAAGGAATCATGGCAGTATCCGCGCGGATTACACAATAACGTCGCCTCCTGAACTACATGCGCGACAGCACTTGGGGTGGTGGCAGCCTTGCTCGCCTCAATATCAGATAATCCACGACCAGTAGTGTTTTCAAGGCAGTTCCACTACAGAATGTGGGGTGACGCTAAAGGGCATTCTCGCCCGCCGCCCGTTTATCACTATCGAGCTTCCGCTCGCAAGGCAGACCGGATTCGTCTTTCGTCGATTCAGTATGCCGGTCCTATTGACTCCGAGTGGCGCAATCGTTAAGTTTGGGCTACAAGCGTCGTACGTTGCAGACAAAGACATGACAAGAGAGCGTGGCCGCATTGAATCTTATGATTGTGTTAAATTGCTAGAATTGTGACCGAGTTCAACGGGTATACCCCGCCGGTGAGATACAGAATCTCCACATGACAACGGATGTATACTCCAATAATTCTTGAAAACCGACAGGCTACACGGCGACTTGATTCTTGTCCCTCTTGTGTAGCGTCGACTATCGAACCCACCCAAAGACGTCGATTTACCTCGATGGCATCAAGCACGGCAGCACCTGCGAACGGTGGTGGCACGTACACCACGGAAGCGTCGGGTTTGACGCCCTCCTTGGCCTCCGCTACGGTGTTGAACACCGGTTTGCCCAGGTGGGTCTGGCCACCCTTCTTAGGGGTCACGCCGCCGACGTACTGAATGATCGTGACATGCAACGGGCAGGGCAACAGCAAAGAGCACAAACATGGTACGAGCCGTTAACGCAAACTGCTGTGTTGGACGCCGGAATCACGGCATCACGAACCTGGCCCCGTTGCGAGCAGGCAGGCGTTTAGTATACATACCTCTTGGCTGTTCGCTGCTCTGGCAAAGGTGCTATCTCACGTGACCCCCGACATCACCCACCAGTCATCAGCACACGGGCAGGAAAGGACGAGGCTGTACGAAAGCTGAGGCCATGCTCCGGCGGTGGTTCAACCTAGTACAGTCGTGTCCCGATTGTCCACGAGGATCGTGTAATTTGAGTCTTAATCTTCACAGGCCCAAACACGACCCATGTCTTGTAGAGAGCTGACAAAGCCTACTTGTACAAACGATGGTTACACAGAACGCAAGCTTCACATGAGGTTCAGAGAAGTTTCGACGCCCGACACCATACGTGATCGTGCACTACTGTGCGTTTTTGTGCCAATGCTCTAGGGGACGCGACTTTCTGGCGAATGGCATTGCTGACTACATATAGTACAGCTGTTGCAGCAGTGCTTCGGAAGCTGCTTGGAGTGGTAGAGCAGCAACAACGAGGCCTAGACAAGCAAGCTGCAACTATGGCGTGCCAACGGAGATCGCCAGGTACTCCCACCACAAGACAACGTAATCAGTTAGTCGTCCGACGAATAAGAATTACAGCAGCAGTGAACGCAGACCTCAGCAGTTACACCCGGGATCGTTTCTGTGCTTGAGACGCATCCGCGCTGGCTCTCGGGGTGTGCATTTACCCTTGTACACAAAGCACTCGTACCCAGACTGTAATGATCCGGCTTCACAGGAGGTATTTGGTACCGCCATCCGTCACAGCATCGGGGCACACGTGGGGTTTTTGGGTCGTGCAGAAACATCGCAACGCCATAAGTAAAGCCTGTTTTTCTTGGCGGGGGCGAAGTGTGAAGTTTGGTGGTGCTCGAGAAGTTCGTGTAATGGTACACTGCCGCACAGCGTCAACGTCAACCAGGCCAAAAGAACACGAAAAACAAGAAATCGCCCCATTGTCTTCTCGCTTCGTTCGATCAAATCTGTGTGCATGATGGCAGCCAGCAGGCACCGCGATCACCACCTCCCATGCACTCTCTTTGTCCATCCCCGCTGGCAGTTCTATGCCAATGGGTACATAGTTTGGCTTGACTTGCAAGCAAACCCTAACCCTGTTTCGGTGATGATGCGTTCGCACCTCAAAGTGCGATGATACTACCAGGTTGGAGGCAGAGAGAAAACCACTAACTGCAAGAGAGAACCGAGCGGTTGTGCAATCTTCGACATTCACCATCGAACAGCAGCAGTGCTGCAGCCAGTGCGCAAGGTATACGCACGACAGGACCCACGCCACACAGCACCGCCTAAAGCAGTACCCTACCTGGGAGCCGTACTCGATAGCCTGTTCGGCGTGAAAGGTGCCTTGTTTCCCGGTGAAGCCCTGTACGATGACCTTGGTGTTCTGGTCTATCCACACCTTTGCGCTTGAAGACATGCATCTTCCTCCTGAGACACCACCGAGGGTTTTCCCTACTATTCGCGAGGCAAGCGCCATCTTTGCTTCCCTTCGATCTGATTCAGGTTGCACAGAGAGTGCAAGAGTGTACTGCTCAGTGCTGTAGTGCGGCTTTTCGGCACTCGGGTGGTTGGGGGGGGGCCACGCGGCTTGCAATCGGAGATGCGGGGCCACGCAGATTAATGGTGTATCGATACAGCCAGCGAGCGCCATGGCGCACACCACACTTGACACCACACCGCATCACGGCTATCACAAGGCCACGGTGACAGAACCGTTCCAGCATGAAGCATCGAGCCAGACTGATCGCTCTAGGGGTTATTGTGGTGGAGTGCGTTGGAGGTCGTCATTTGGCGGTCGTGAGTCATTCCTCTCTGAGCTTTCAAAAAGTGACTGTTGGTGCGTTTCCAAATGTCGTCTACAGCATTCAGGAGCAAGACTCCTTTTCCGTCACCTGGCAATACAATGGTAGCATGGTATATATCTGATACGAGTATTTTTCCATTACATGTCAGCGCGCGTGCAGTAGACTATGCTTCTATACAGTAGTAGTCGTGTTGAATACACGACATGTGCATTGCGGGGCAGGAGAACATCCTATTATAGCAGCTGGATTCTATGCTGACTACCGAACCAAATCTGTGCACAGGTACCACATGTCTTGCTGTAGGCTAGATCGCTCACCAGACGTTGGTGTCAAAGGAACACCTACTCGCAGCAGCAGCATAGTCTACAGCAGTACATTCATGGCGTATCGTGCATGCTAGTGTTTCAAATGACAGGAGGTACACAGCAGTTAACGGCTTTACGGCTTTCGTGCTCTGGTGTACGTGCGATGGATGTCTCTACTGCTGCCATATACAAGTATACACCAGTGGACATGTCGCTGTGTACACAGCAGCACACAGGCTACAGCAGCAGAGCGTCGCTGAAAAGAGGAAATACCAGATGGCCACCGAAGCCAACTGTTTCTTATATAGATACTCGACACCATGGTTGAAAGCTGCTACCCTTCGTTTTAACAAACAGCGTGGAAGCACTGATGCATCAATACATCCGGGGACACATACATCGGAACCTCCCGCCCCCAACGCAAAAGCTCTCTCTCCCTCTCCCTCTTTCTGTCTCTCTCTCTCTCCGTGCATGCTCCGAGTTGGCTGCGACGAGAATATAGAGAACACCAAGGATGTTGTAGAATTAGAAAGGCGTGAGTGTTTTACCCTTTACTTTCGACAACATGGTTTCTGTTGCGCGACTCAGAAGAAAACGTTTGCGGGGCGCCAAGCTGTTATCACGGACGGATGCGGTTTTGTACTTTGCCTGCATTGTTGTGTCCCGCGACGTCACATTATCCTCTTCGTGACTGAAACCGCTGTGCATACCACAAATTTGCTTTGTTTTCAATAGCAGCTGCACGAGGAGTGCTGTGCCAGAAAAGGGCAGGGGAAGGGTGGATCATGTCAGCGGGTGCACCGACACCAGCGTTCTTGGTACAAGGATGCCGGCAAAAACTCTTCAGTCACACAGGAGCGAAAGAGACGTGGGCGGCATGATGTGCAGTACAAAGAATGTGCCTCCACCCAGCATACGTCAAGAAGACGACGCGGCGCTGTGCGGGCGGTTGCACCGTATGGGGTCAAGGCGGGGTGTGTCCGTCAGGGCTGCCCGACAGAAGCGAGCTGGTTAGATCCTGAAAATGGTGCATGTATCAGAGGGAGCAGGAGAAAGGGGCCGGCCGCATCTGTGGTTCGGCTCCGAGGTGGAAGCGTATCCTCGCGTGAGACCAAAGGGGCCATCAAGGAGGACACCGGTTGGGGCATGAATCTGAGCGTGTTCGGCTGGGGCGGAGACAACGAGGCGAAGAGGAAAGCCAAACAGGAAGCGGAAGATGCAGAGGCCAGAGATGCATTGAGGAAGGCCAGGGAGGAGAGGTATGCCCACAGTGAACAGATCACGAGATACAAACCTCGATGGGCCGGTGAAATTCCTTTCTTGAGCATTATATACTACACCGCTGATTCGCTATTGTCGCTGCCCCAAAATGAGTTGGTGTGCCCAAACATGACCTGCTCTGTTCCGTGCTGCGGTTACGTTAAACATAAGGTTGGAGCGCGAGCTAGAAGAGAGCGGAGCGGCAGAGGAAGCCGAGAACGTTGGGGACGACAAGACAGCTGGTGGCATTCTCGTCTCCATGGCAAAACCTGGTGCGTTAGTTTGCTCACGCCTGGCCATGAGGGGGCCTTTCTCTTTCGTCCCTTGCTACAGTCATCCGATATTGTTCATTGGTTCATTTCGTAATAATAACATGTTCTGTGTTCTTCGTGCGAGATGCACATGGTTCTCTTACTCCCATGCTTGCGCGCCCGCTGATAATCAATTTTCCCGTCACCCCGTGAATTTTTTTGCCATGTCTCCGCCTGCCGTATGTACTGGACACGCCGGCCCACTGCAGCTGAGCCTGTCCGGCAGGTTGCTTTGCTGAGCGACAAGCGGTTGTGGCTTGACGTGGTGGAACCGTTCTTTGCTAGCGTTTCTCTGGCCATATCCTCTCTCTACCCTCTGTGGCACACGCTGCGGGGGATGTTCGGCCTTTCGCTTCTTTTTTACGGGGAGGATTTCGCCACACTAGCGTTTCACATCGTCGTCTTCAGGATATCGGGATGGAAGAAGGTTCGTGCAAATCCGAAATATCAGTCTATTTCATGCAACGTGGATCTTCAGTGTTGGGATGTGCGTTGTCACCTTGGACGCAGATGGTATTTGATGTGCTGCAAACCTTATCCAGGCGGTATGGACGCGGGTTCTAAAGTTTTTTGGGATATATGTCGCTGGAGGGTTGGGGAGGGGAGTCTACATGTACGGATATGAAAGCGCTATCTTCGCCGCGTGTTGCTCTAGGCGGCGACACATATTTCAACGCATGGAACAGACAGACTTGAGACGTAGGCTGGTTTGACTTGAGAAGCCAACATGAGCGCTTGAACATGCAATTACATCGCACACACCAACTTGTTGCCCTGATAGTATATGTTCCGCATGGGCTGCCACACTGCTGCACACCAACGGTGTTGTGGATGTTCCAGCAGTGGGGACGGCACGTCAGCCCTCCAGCGGCAGTTGAAATTGTACTGTGAATACGAGCGGTATCGGAGCGGTACCCATGTGGAGTCGTCGATGCGCCAGACCCATTCTGTGTACCGCTTGGATCCGTCGTTTCCTTGACCATTGAACAAGCTTTGGCGGTGACTGGATAGACTCCCCGCAGAGAAAGTGTGCGCTTTCATGACGTGGCAGCATCGGAACGGTGGTGTTCTTGTACACGTCTTGTTCCACCTCTGAACTTGGACCGGCGGTAGCTATTGGTGAGCACATTATGGATGTCCCACCCATCCGAACGGTGTGCTCCTGGAATGCTCCTCCCACAAGCGTGGGTGCATGCGCCGCGTGTCTATGTGGTGTGGAACAAATCACAGGCAGCCAAGTCTAAGGACGAACTTGTGGCGTACTACAAGAAGGCGAGGCAAACCATGACCAAGGCAGCCAAGGACGTCCGCGCAAGCGCCGCTATCATTGCCCGAAAGGACAGGCTGGTGGCCCGAAAGGAGGAGATGATGGCGGAAAAGAAGAGGCTGCACGCAATAGGTCGCGTAAGCGCAGAAGAGGCACGCGCCTTCATCGACAAGTACAGGTGAACTTGTCTGCTCGTGCGTCCACTCGCAACTCAACTCCAAGCCTTCCCTCGTTTGTCTTCAACCTGTATTCTTTCGCGCGTGTTAGTAGCAGCGACACGCGGACAGGATACTGTCTTCATTTCTCCCAGTTCCAACACTAATCCCGTTGACACTCTTTCTGTCGGATCCACTCTGCGGCCTCCATTCGGATCACAGTGCGGTACGTGGCGACGTATGTTACAAGCTTGAAATGATCTCCGCGGGGTTGAGATATTATATTCATTTGCATTTTTGTTTTTTTTTATCACCTGTTGACGTCCCGGTCAGGAATTCTTATCTCAGCGAACCTTTTGATGCCGTAGACGTGCTTTGTCGCTGCGTACTTTTGAGGGGATGGGTCGCCCAACAGAATTAAGGCATACAACGCGGGGCAAATCTTTCTGCGAAGCGCCAGCAAGTTGAGGGAAACAGATTCGTGTGGGTAGTATGTGCGCCCAACGCGAAGAAGTTGCACATCAAAAGATCAAACGGCAGCCTAAGAGTTAGCGTCACAATATTAAATACCTCATTGTTGGTGTGTCGAATTACGGTTGCCTGACTTGACGCAGAAACGACATCGAGATCATCGCCCGTGAGCAGGAGGTACTGGCTGAGACTTCCAGCTCCATTCTCGCCATCAAGGTCAGCTCGCCTCCCGTACATACAGCAGTGTAGCGGCCGTATTGTTACCACCGTGCGCCGCCATGGTTAGAGCCAAAGGGTAGTTATTTTTGCACTTGCAACTATTTACTATTTACGCCAAATTCCCCGAATTGTACCCTTGACGGCACCCCTTTGAGCGGATGATGGTATCGGTTTTGGTGTCGTATTTACGTTTTTTTTCGTGTCCGTGTGGCTCGACAGGGAGCTCTAAGCTTCAAGAAACTCGCTGCAAGCGTGAACAGCTTGTATGCTGCCGTCATCACGAGCATCACGGCGAGCACCTTCAAAAGAGCCGGTCAGTTGACTCTTGCACTTACGTGCGGTGGACTGATCAAGGTACGCCCGGCGTTTCAAACGTTACAAGGAAGCTATCCGAACTCTCAGCAAGGATTCGTGAGGCACTGTGTGCCTTGTCGGCTACAGCTGTAGACTTGAAAAGTGGCGAAACATATTCGATAGCGATCACATGACATGACACCCCGCCGCGGGATTCATGTGCGGTGCATTCTGTCAAAACGGCAGATGATAGAGTTGGAGCATCTGTGGTAGCGATTTGCTGTTCAGACAGCTGATTCGCCAGTTTGTGAGCGATACAGTCAGAGTCGTCGCCTTCCAGGCAACGTCCAAGAAGCAATCAATCCTGTTCCTGGAATTATTGGTAGTTCACATTAGACGCCCCATGGGACGCGTCGCACGGCCCATACGCGTGGGATGACCCACATGAGTTCCCAACAATATCTGGACCAGACACAAGGACTCAAGCTGAATTTTTCGGCAGATGCCTCCACCTCCTTGATATCTGCGCTCTTTTTCGACCGTACAAACCCGGTTGGTAGTTTAATGTGGCAGCCTGGCATTGCTTCGATCATGGCTGGTATGTTCGGACCACGTTAAGCTCACGGGATCATCACGACTTGGTAGGGATTTTCCTTCAGATCAACACTGCTGCCGTCCTCTGTGTCAAGCAAAGAAATATTTATCTGTTTGCTAAACCTCAATGATGTGCCGACACAAAACCTTGCATGACCTGCTTTCCATGTTTACGTTGTATCATGTTACAGAGAGCGCTGTTCGATCTACTGGGCCCAGTGATAGACCCAATCGGCTACCAGATTGAGCTCGAGACGTACGTTGCGAACATCATGCGGGGCCCGGCGAATCTCTACATTACACTGGCGGGCTACGTGAGCTCTGCCTCCGTGTTCTTCCACTTTTTTGTCGACCCGCAACAAGCGCTCACGGTGCGACGCTTGGGTTGACACTGTTTCATGAGGGAGCTGGGTTGCGTCATGCTCCTGCTGTATTTCCTTCCAGAAAAGGCTGTGGCGATGGGTGATGGGGGAGGTTTTCTCAGCATGCGCCGGCCTTTCGTGTTTGGTGGCGCAAAAGGTGAAGCATGCCAGCAGAAGCCCCAACACTCGCGACGCAAACGAAGTTCCTACACTGACAGGGACCAAGGACAACGAGAGAGAAGGCAAGTAACGCCCTAAATAACAAATAGAGCTCGAACCTCCGTCTGCTTCCGTTCGGATGTGTTGTGCACTCACTCGTGTTGATCAGATCACGTTCGTTCTCCTCGGAGCCCGCGTGGTGACGGACTACATCGTGGCGGCGCTCAACCCCGTGCGATGGTGAGGACGTTCATCTATCGGGTATCGTCCGTAGCAACGTTGACAAGGACAAGGAACGCAGAATACCCAGCAAGGGGTTTTTGACATAGACAATCTTGCGCTTGACACCGCCCCCAACCCGTTCCTCCGCGGCACACATGAAAAGCTGGCACCACCCTTGATTATTTCTGACAGTGTACTCATAACTGGTGTGGTGCGATCAACGGTGAGGGGACAGAGGCACCATAATCCACCTTCGCATCCTTAAGTTGTTGCAGCGTCGCGGACCGCACGATACATCATTTATAGCATGTCAAGGTTAACGCCACGGTTTTTCTATTCACTCGTGTCTGTTGAATTTTGCAGGAGGTTCGGCATGTCGAAGAAGCTCGACAACATGCCCATTTCTGCGGTAATTTACCTCTTGTTGGCAAGCCTGGGGTTCATTTTTCACGGGAACGCGGGGTTGGTGGGCGACTTCGCCTGTAAACCGTTCATCGCTTTCCTCGGGCTCCTGAACAAGGGGCTTAACCACTTCCAAGCTACGACCATCACCTACTTTTCATGACCAGGACCTGGTGGTCGTGGTGATTGTTGCGTGGGAGCACGCCGTGGTGCAACGGGTGTTGTAAATGGTTGAATGGGTGACGCCAATGGCGTGTTACGTTTAGGTTAGATCTTGCAACGTTTATTTCGCCCCCCAATTAATAGTGATTCAATCGTTGCTGCCGTTCAAATTGTTCTAATATCCGAAGACCCAAGCAACGTTCATGGGCCAGAGGGTGATAGTTACGGGTTTAATAGCTAGATTGTTCGGAACAAGTGCATCGATGTGCTGAGCGGGTCTCGTGTACATATTTCAGGAGATATCTGAATGGTAGGCGGAGGAAAACACAATTTTCTCGACAGAAAAATTGACCAGCCGAACCATCCACGCAACAAGCAGAGATAGCCTCTCTGCCCGATACCAGCGGAGTTGGGATTGTCGGGCTGGCCGAGAAACCACTTGTCGGCTTGCAAAGGCCGGAGAAAAACGCAGACCTGCTGCGGAGTGGAGCACACGCTATTATAGTTGAGCCAAGCGACAACGCATCTATGCTCAGCCCAACTCGACAGTGTTGCATCATACAACGCATTTAGGTGGATGGGCTCTGGTCGTCCTTAATTTGTTCACAAACAAGCCGGGGATCTTTTGCATGTTTCTTGTTGGAATAAATTTTGCACTGAGACGGGATACAACTTGTTTTCAACCCCGGCAACTCGGTCTTTGGGCAGCCGCCCTTACCGCCAGTACATCCACACGTTTCCTTCTACCCCTGACCTACAACCAAACCTACTTCCCTTGTACTATGCTCTACTCTGGTGTTATGGTGCGGAACGTTGGTGAGGCAAACACCATGCGGAATACGGCAACAGCGACCAGTCAGCCCAAACGTGTGGAATCATACCAATACCCAGCCTTCACCATTGCCACTCTGTACACATACAATCCACCCGATAATGGAGTCGGCTACCCGAGATTGTACCGGTGTCCCGCCGTAGCAATGAATAGATGTTCATTCGAAACGTCCTTCTTTCCGAACAGTGACGCATACACCTTGCTCGCTTCTTTGTTTTTCTTCACCGCCTCCGCCGCGGCGCCTGCGAGTCTTGCGGAGTTCGGTCCCGCACTGGCTCCGTTAGCAGCGACGGCCGCCGCCGATGCCGCCTCCTTCTCTAGCGCTCGTCTTCTCTTCTTGCCCTTCTTGCTCTCCCCACCTGCCGCATCCTCTTGCGCCTCGTCGCCCGTGGATGCGCTTGGTTTGCTAGGTTGCTCGCCAATCACACCGGCACCGGCAGAGGGAGGTGAAGAAGATGACTTGGTTGCGCCCGCCTTAGCGGAGGCGGCGGTTTTTTCCCGTCTTGCGCTCTTCTTGGAAGACTTTTTGGCGAGTCGCGCCTTCTCCCTCTTGGTGATGAGCTGCCTTGTCCGGGTTTCGCGTTCCTCGTCGGTCGGTGCCAGTCCGACGATGTCGTCCTCGGTAAAGGGACCGTACTCCTCCTGAATACGCGGACATCAGAGCATCAACAACACTTGAGCCAGCATACCTTACTTTCTCCTGCAGGTATTGGGACCATACAGCATTCAGAGGGCTTGAGGCCTTGCGCACGCAATCACGACATGGCCTTGCCAATGTGCACAGCAAAACACTCATGCTTCCAGACTGTGGGAAGGCTCTCCTCGTTCAGACTGGGCGTATGTTACGCACGCACGTGTCCGGTTTTTGTAGTAATATCTGAGCCGTAACAATGACTCCCGAATAATATGTCTGGAGGAACAAACCCCTGACTGGAGGTAAATACTGTGCAAACGAAACGCCCCGCAAGTGACAAACTTCCGGTGCCATGCCTTCACACTTGCGCAACTTGCACCAATTCACACGCGTTGCAACTACGCTAACCCTAACCTTGTCGTACCTCAGCGCTAAGGTCTTTCGAAGGATACTCAGGGTAGAATAGGTTCACGTATGAAGCATGAAGAATTTGCAGCCAGCACTACGGTGGTGCCCTCTGCTAAATAACACACAGGAAAACATATCGCCCTCGAAAACTTAACTTGCGCCAACCATGGTTGCCGTGCGCCCAAGCGCCAATGTCAAGGTCATCATTCCAAAGACCTTGGGAGAGAGTTGTGCGAGGAGGTCCGTTGAGTCTGTCCAAAGCACTGCAAACAATCACCTGGAGTCCAGCAATGCCGACCTCCTTGGTCGCCTTTTCCGACATAACCCAGCCCGTGCTCATAAGTACCACAAACGCGTGTGAGCCGTTCATCTCTTGGAGAGTTACCGGACACATGAAACGGGCCGGTTCGGGTCCGTCAAACGCCCGGTCCTCCTTTTCGAAAGAGGGGTTCGGTGTTAACCTGTTCAAGGACACCGATGGTTTGAATCGAAAAAGGGTGCGGGTTAGGTAACGCACAGCTTTACCGACGCGCACAAAAAATACTAAAAATGACCTACATCAAGGGAACACTTGTGCAGCCTTGTCATGCAAAGTGCGTCTTTCTCATGATCACCATGAGCTAGCTATATCATACACTTCCAACAGAGGAAACACCACCACATTGTGCTCCAGGTTGTTCTTGTGCTTGGCGACGCCATCGAGGAGGCAAGCGTTCAACTGTGACAACCACAAGTACATTCGAAAAACAGGCTTCGGGGAACTCTACAAAGCCTGCCGAGACAAAATCCACCAACACGACATTGTCGACTTTTCGATGGTAGCGAATGCACCGGCGTAACTTGCGCATTTCAGCTGGAGGAATTTGGTGGTGTTTCAGGATTCTGCGCATGGTGCAAGTCCATCCTTCTACTCTGCTCTGCCGACACAATAAAAGAACGAAGGGCCTTGCCAAGTTCGGCAATACAGCAGTATCTCACTTGCACTCGACGATGTCCTTCAGGCCGCGGATGTGGTTGAATGCAGGGTTGAGGTCACGGTTCAGCAACCCAGAGATCAAGACATCCTGAAAAAAACAACGGTTGGGCGCGAGAAAAAGCGGGAAATCGGGCAATAAAGGAGGGTGCCCGAGTTTTTATCCACATCCAGGGATGCTTCGTGCTGATCGGGAGCTGGATCACGATTAGCGAATACTTCTCGGTGACAGGGGTCTGGAACGGGGGAGGCGAAAACGAAACACACGCAAGCTGCCTGTCGCCGACGACCGTTTGCGCGGGAAATAAATCTGACGAACAAGTACCTCCCCAACCTTGCCACACAAACGGAATCCCCGGAATAGCGTGTTGTTGTTGATGCTGTCTTCACCTAAAAGCCGTTCCGATTTCCATCCCAAAGTATCTCCTTCTGTCTGTACTGATCTAACACTTGACGCGGTCAGTTCTCGTGTGGTCACAGGCCAACGTACCCTTAGAAAGGTGCCCCTGAACAAAATGGATCCGGCGGGTTCGTCCGCAAGCCAATAGAAATCAACGACGGGTAGCCTAGAGCCCTCCGCTCGCCTCTCCGGCGGACGATAATTTCATAATTCGACACAAAGGCACCCCACCGAGACCAAACGGCCTTGTCAACAGGTTTGCACGTCTCACCCGGCGATAGAACTCGAAAGTCAAACTGAATCGTCTTAAAAGCCGCGCAGAGAATTTGCTCCTCACCTTGTTGTAGAGGTATCCCAACTCGCACGCGGCCACCGGTTCTCGGAGGACCTCGTTGCTTATTGCACACACCTGCCAACACCAACCCAACACGAGGCGTGGGGTTGAGGGGAAACGTGTGGTAGGTAAAGGGACAGAAATTTGTAGCCAACCATTCGAGTGCCCAGGGTTACATCAGCCGAGCACCAACGGAGAGAGAAGAGAGGGAGGGAGGAGGTCGGTGCAGACACAAGCCTGCTCGGCGATGTGGCGAGTTCGACCAGGCGGCATTCGGTGCCCCCCTGCCCACGCCGTCTGTGCCTGCTGCCAACTAAACGTCCGACAAGAGAGAAGTACCCACGGCCACATCGGGGAGTCGTTCTCCAGCCCGCCGGTGAAGGGGGAAGGGTAATACCAACCACAGGCCCCCTCTACCGCGTGCGTTGGCGTGCGCAAGCGTGCGCGGTGCGCGGGCCCGCCGACTGCAGCAACCGTTCGTGTGTTGGGCGATGAGAGTTTGTGACACCAGCTCAAGAACACTTTTACACAAAGGTCAACGTTGATGTCATAACCTTCCGTACCTTCCGGCCTTCTGGCTTGCTGCATCAGAGCAAGCTGTCAACATATACCTTCGAAAATAAAGGCACCGAAAATATCAACACCGCCCCAAAAAAGCCATGTCGCTGCAGATAGGCCGCTACCCGCTAGCACAGCACTCACGATAGCGATAATAGATATGGTACCCATTATGCTTGAAGCGCCCCTGAATTGATAATGTGCTGCTGTTGCTGCTCAACCGCACGGTTGAAGACGGAACGGCTTGCACACCGGGTTGGTCGGCGTATTGTCATACAACGATGTCATCTGCCTGTCTGCGTTTCGGTCCGACTCTCTGTTTCTCTCTCTTTCCCTCACCTTAGTGCGAAGCTCGGCGGTTTCGGTACGGTTCAGGGCTGTCTTGGCCATGCCCCCCTTCATTCCAAACACGTCCCCGCATGACTGCATATACTCCCGCTTCGCGGCGATAACTCCTCCATCCCCTCCCATCTTTGGGCAAGTGCCTTTCACACGCCCTCCTGGTGACGATGCCCCCCCCCCCCCCTCTCTCTTTCTCTCTACTCTCTCTCTCTCTGCTCTCTCCCTCCCTCTCTCTCTCTCTCTCTCTGAGTCTCCTCTGAGTCACTGAGAAAGGGAAAGGGGTTGGTTTCGGGAGATCAGCTGGGCCGCGGTGGTACGATGGGGCTACAGTGCTTCTGTCTTGTGAGCCGTGGCAGGTCAATGTGCTCTCCTCGTCCTTGATGGTGTGGGATACTGCCTGGGGCTCGCCCTGTGGGAGCTCCGCGGATGGACGTTTGAGAAAAGGGGTGTGTGTGACTCATTAATTCCTCCGCATGTTGGTCATTTCTGTGGCAGTGGGGTGCCAATGCACACTGCATGCCTTTGGCACATCACCACCCGGCGGTTCTACTGCAAGCGGCTGTTACCGCGATAGGGAGATATTGGAGGGAGGGAACGGAGAACGCGAGAGCCAAAAGCCAAGCACTCCTCAGTGCTCTGCAACTAGACCAAGGTGGGGTGATGATCGGAGAGTTTTCCTGTTGTTCTCCACGAAGGATATTCGTCTGCTGCATGCAAATGAAGAAACAAACCTCGTACAGCAGTACATCCGGCATGGCTGCGTGCCTGCATTCACTGCCGCACGCCTTGCAATGCGCAGCAGCATCCACCCCTCGTGCATGAAACCATATACTTCGTTACCCCCCACACATTGGAATATTCTGTAGTACCCGGACAGGTTTTTGGGGACCAGCTCGCACGCTTGCTTTCCAGAGCAAGTATGGATTTGTGGATCAACAAGAGTCTCTACAGCAGTACTGCTGTATGGATAGCGTTGCACATCAACCCAGAGGTACGCACCCTGCTGCAGCAGGCACATACCGTACCTGACGCATGGCACATGGTGTTGTGGTTTTTCCTGCGAGGCTTGGCGAGACCGACGTTTGTTCACTTGTCGGCCGACTGTAGCTATTTACTATTTACAAAAAGTAGCTGTCCATGCCGTTCGAACTGTCTGCAGTCGGTGCCGTGTTGTATCCAATCGAGAACGCTTGATACACCAGAAAGCGGTTCAAACGCTATATACTGCTGCACACACACTCACTCACCCGTGGATTGGTGCTCCACGTAAACAGGGCGTTGATCGCCTTTCTAGAGAGTATAGTAGTTCCAAATATCTGTTACGCCAGTTGATGAAAAAGTGGTCACGTATACTTTTCGTGGCTTTGGGTGAGGAATTGTCGGCAGCACAACCGATACCAACGCCGTTACATATGACACAGCTCTTTACATTGGAACATAGGTTGCGAGAAAAGTTGAAGGTTTTTTTTACACTTTTGGTCCGGAACTTTTGTTAACAACTCTTTTATTGCTCGCTCACACCGCTTTTTATGACAGCAGAATGTTGGAAGAAAAGTTAAAGTTTTGCAACTCTTCTTGCACTACGCTCAGTGGGAGCAAAAAGTTGCGCAAAAGGTTTTGAAACTTTTCTCGGGAGCAAAAAGTTGCAATCTGGAGGAAACGTTCTGCAACTTTTTTCGCGAAGGTGTCGAACAACAGTTGCGCGGCGCAACTTCCGCCAATCCACGTCAAGCTGCTACCGGCACCACACCCGTAGACCCTCTTCAGCTTCGATTGTGGGAAGGTTGTGATCAGCGATATCTCGACGAATACTTAACGACTTTCCTCATGAATGGTATCTGGAAGGAGGTGATGCCATGGGCTAATGGGCAATGCTAAGGTTTGGGGCCGTGAGGTGCCGCATGCGCTGGGAAAAAACGTTTGTGCTGTGCAAAACCGTCAACGGCCGCGAGCGGTTAGTTCAAGTTCGTTGTTTTTGACCGCCACGCGGGTTTGGTTATCCACCGATAACTTTCGGAAGGAGGAAGCAACAGCAATAGCGAGGCCACTCGGCGGGAGGTTGCTCTCTGCTCCGTCTTTCATACCCAAGGTTTGGTGCCGTGGGGTATCGTGCGCGTCGGGAAAAAAGTTTTGGTCAACCCTAAAATGCCCACCTCAGAGAGCGGTTGGTTCAAGTTCGCAGGGATTGCGTGCTCATGGTTTGGTTTTCCAGCGATAACATTGCGAAGGAGGAGGCAACAGCTACAGCAATAGTAACAGCAATGCCACCCCGAGGGAGCTAGCTCTACTCAGCATCTTTGTGGTACCAGGTTAGATGCCCTGGGGTATCGTGAGTGTGGAGAAAAAAGGTTGCAACTACCGTCTCTTGCATACTCTGAACGTTTTTTTCGCGGTGCGATATGAAAAGCTTGTGCCTTCTTCTAGCCGTTGCTAAAAAAAAAAAGGCCACGCCTCCGCATTCCGCCAGTCCCGCGCACAAAAACTTTCTTCGTCCCATAACGAGCGTGCACCAAAAGTGTTGCTGACAAAAGTTCCCGAACAAAGTTGCAGAAAAATTTGCAACCCCTAGTTGAAACATTCTCCTGCCATAGAAAGCGGTGTCACTATGGGGCGAAGGAGCTTTTCTTCACGAGACTGGCGGAATACGGAGGCGTGACCATTTTTGTTTAGTGAGCAACGGTGAGAAAGCAGGAACACCCCTTCATGCCACGTCGCGAAACCGGCCACTGCGTGGAACCCAAGCTTGGAAAACGAGTTGATGGCACAAAACCTGGCGTTGTGCCTTCCAATCGAAGCCAGGAAGACCTCGATCATGCTCACGTCCAACACAAATGTTGACACAGACTCTACAAATGTGTATGTCTTATGTGTTTTACACAGCTGCGGCCATTGCAGGCAAAACCAACTCGTCGTTCAAGTTTCTGACTTGGCGGTTCATCTATCGCGTGGATCGTGCGCGTGTGTGGCTCAAGAGGGCCTACGTGTGTGGTACGGGCAGCAGATCCTTGGCGTGGATTGGCGGAAGTCTCGTCGTGGAACCCCTCTTGGCGCTTTTGTATCGAAAAAAAATTGCAAGCTTTTCCTCCAGATCGTGCGATTATTGTCAAAAGCAAAAGTTTCCAAACATTTAGCGTACATGAGAAAGTTGCCAGAAACGTTTGCAAACTTCGACTTGTCTCGCAACTTCTTATGCTCCCATCAAGCGCGGTAGGACACACTTGCTGATGACAGGGTTTCTGGTTCTGAGCGTGATGGTTCTGGTTCGTTCTGGACCAGGTGTGATCAACACTGTACGGAGAACAAAGTGCTTTACAAGACCACTCGCTGTGGATGTCTTTATCGACACTCTCGCCCTACTCTAGACCATTTACAGTCCGCCTGTTTCACGCCGGTATTATCGTCTTAGGACCCACAGCACATGCCGACTCAAACGACCTCATTCATCGCAACCCCGTACTGCACATCGTTACGCTTACTACGTGCCCTACAGCACTGTCTACAGTAACAGGCACAGCAGGGGAAATCCAGCTTGGCAGCGTGGAGGGAGGAGGTGAAGGAAATGGCGCATCGAGGTACACTTTCACCCCGTTGGCAAGGGGCTTCCTCTGTCCGGTCCAGGGGGGCTGATGTACCTGATAAGGAGAAGGAGATTCTTGCAGACCCGGAGCGCTCGGGCCCGGTTCACGCCATTCGTGAGTCTACTGTCCACATGACCTGACCGTCTTCAGCAGCTTAAGTCATACGTGATGCTGACGTATGTATGTGGGTGACCAGGTTGGCGGTGATGGTTGCACTAGAGTACATTCTGGTCGCATGCTGTGCTGTGGTGGCCGGTTGCAGTGCGTGCTCCTTGCTGTATTTTTTATTTCATCTGTGGAATCTGTCTACAATGTTCGATGTAATGGAAAAGATCGTGGCAATGCACGATGCGTCTCCTGTACCCAATGGCTTGCGAATATGTCGTGCGCTACAGCAATGGTTCTGTGCTACATTGTAGCAGAGCGTTCCAAACGGTGTGCGAAGTGTGTGCACATGTGCTTTGTTTTTTTGTTTCGATGCTTTCCCGGCGGATCGAAAAACTTCTGAACACAGCCGTTTTTGTAAGTGATACATACGTTGTTGAATTTATTTTGGGGGGGTGAGAGAATGTCGCCCAGCCGCCGTTCGCATCGTTGGAGTGCTTTGTGAAGCGGGGGAAAGCACCGTAGGTGCATACACAGCTGCAGTTTCTCTTTTTGGTGTTTCCGTCATGGCGCGGCGCCAACTTCCCCCTGGAAAAGACACCGCTACAGCAGTACGTTCAGCACAGGGCCGTTTCGCCGGACGCAAAGAGTACGCTGACCTACAGTAGGACGCTGCTCTCGCCATGATGACGACTCCGTGACTTCAGTATCAAGACATGCTAACCTCAAAACAACATCATGCCACAGAGCATGCAGGATGCCCCAAGCTTGTCCCAGCGTCTAATTTTCGAAAACCCGCTGCCCTCGCGCCCGTTCGAATGAACGACGTCTGCAGGGGCTCGAGCTCCAAGCAGCTACCGCTACATCTTTCTCGCCACGCTTGAAGGGGCCTTGTCGGCTTCTTCTTTTCGTTCTTCATGCGCCGTCGCTGTGCCGATATTTAGCGCCTTCCCTCTCCACAACCCCGCCGAGGAGGCGTTGCTTCCAGCATCAGCATCAGCTTTCGCCGTTGCTGGAGCAGTGCGTTCCGGCGCCGCGCTAGCCCTGGGGACGCCTTTCTTTCTGTTGGCAGCACGGTGCGCTATTCTCGCCCTGAACCGCGTGAGGATTCCAGCGGTGCAGAGGCTACAGCTACAGCAACCCAGGCTGGGATTTCCCCTGCCCACTGGAGTGGACGAGAACGTTGCGGTGGACCTGTACGTTATCGGCTTGTCAGCGGCGGTGTTGGGCGGGTGTGTACCGGCGCTCGAGATGGCGGGAACCTTCTTGGGGGATGCTCTCAAGGGAAGGTCACCTGTGTGGGTCGTTTTGGCCTTCTTGGTGTTGATTCCAGTGACATATCTGGCCCTGGGCGCGTGGCTAAACCTTAGCTCGCCAGGTGAAGGGTTCATCGCCCGCACGAGGCCCACTACAGCGATGTGGGGGCTGTGCGCAGCGGGGCACGTTATTCTGCTAGCCGCGTGCTTTTATTCTCCGGACGTGTCGAGAACTTTGGGCTTTTTGCTTGGACTGGTGCACATCGTGAGGACGCTGCTCCCCGCGTTTGCTTATCCTGCGGGCTCGGGGTCTGCGGCGTGCGAAGAAGACGACATGAGTGCATCGGTGCACCTCTGATTGTGCAGGTTTTTTTCATTGGAATGGTATACTTGGTTGGTAACGCGGGAACCCTCGAGCTTGCTGGCTGAGACGTTGGGATGACAAGAAAATAAGCTACTAATAGATGTAGCATACAATGGTTGAACTTCTTTATTGCCGGTAGTTTGGGGAGGACACAAAAGAGCGATACATCGCACACGTGTCATATTTTCTGTTATATAGTAGGTCCATGTCGTCGCTTAGTTCTTTGTGGTGCGGGTATGGCTTAACCTGTGCAGATGCACACCCTGTTGCGCGTAGCGGGGTCCCTTGTTGTTATCCTTGGCTCTCACTTTGCGCAGAACTCTATACGACCACTGGTTTACCGAGCAGTGCGCTAGACTAATGTTGTATGTAACGCTCTGGTGCGGTTTCTCCAAGAGTTTTTAATGTACAATGTATGCTGTATTTTTAAATTTTGGCTAAGTAGGATCAAGCGTAGACTAACTCTTCTCGTTCCCCACCTATCTTGGGCAGGAGAAAGGGCCGGAGGAGGGTAATCTGGAGGTGAAAGCAAACCACCAGCGTGTATGGCAAACGGATCGACGCGTTGCGTGCGGTGTTTTCCATTCCAAGTCATGATGGTAGTGTGTGGGTGCTTGGGTTGTCTATAGACCTTTCTATTATGCGTTTTAGGGTTAGGGTTTCCTCTCTCTTGTACTGTAGCTTATGTTTGACCGGTTTGCGATAAGCACCCGGCTAGTTATTTTGTTCGTGCGGATCATGTTTAGTCTGTCGTTACGGTTTATTCAGTAGCGTAGATCTATGATGATAATATATAGTAGTTTTTGTGTAGACAATATATTGAATATAGACTATAAAAAACTTTCTAAATATAAAATCGAAGTAACTCTGGGACGTGCAGGAACAACCTCTGCATCCTCCGGTTCTTGCTGCGAGGGTGAAGTCACATGGATAAAAAGTAAGAGAAATGATGACGTTTTTTTTCAAACGCGTGGATACTTGCCCACGGTTCTGATCGTCTGTTTTTTTGGGAAGGGGGGGTGCAACATTCTCTCTCGATGCACGCCCCCCCCCCCCCCCCGCCCCAACCAGAAAGCACAAAACAACCCGCAACCCACCCCCCACCCAACACCGCCGTGA